CTTCTTTGCCTTTGAGTCTTAATTGGGATCTCGGATTTCGAAGGGGTTTGAGGGATGAGGAAGCAACTTGTCTGTCAGAGCTTGCCCTTCGTCTTGATAGTGTTTGCTTAGAGCTTTCTTGTCCAGATAGAAGAATTTGGTTCCCAAGCTCCAAAGGTTCCTTTTCTTGTGCCTCCTTTTTTAAAGCTCTTTGTCAGTCCCCTTCTTCTCTGTCCTTTCCTTGGAAAGAAGTGTGGTTCTCGTTGATTCCCCCTATATTTCATGCCTTCTGTTGGGAAGTGGCTCTTGAGAAAATTAACACTCTGGATTATTTGCAAAAGAGGCCTTTTCTTTGTATTTCCTCGAATTGGTGCACTCTATGCAAATCTGATGGTGAATCTTGTTACCATTTATTAATTTCCTGTTCATTTGCTATAGATATATGGGATTGGTTTTTCTCTTCGTTTGGGTGCAGGTGGAATATGCCAACGGAGATAAAAATGTTGTTTGACCCATCTACCTTTGCTTTACCGAAGAAGAGGGGAAGAGTAATGTGGAGGTACACTAGAGCAGTAGTGGTGTGGACCTTGTGGGGAGAGAGAGATGCTAGAATCTTCCAAGAGAAAGAAAGGAGCAAACGACAAATTGTGGAGTGTGTAATGACTAGGGTTATACACTGGCTACAGACGTTGGAACTATTCAAAAATTTCACATTTGATGATATTTGGAGGAATTGGCCTTTAGTGGCTTCTAGCTCAATGCAAAAGGTTAAGGCAAGGTTGGCTTGGACTCCTCCCATTGAAGGATTTCTGAAACTAAACTTTGATGGGAGTAGTCAAGGCAACCCAGGCCTAGTTGGAATAGGAGGGGTCATCAGAGACAAGGAAGGAAATTTAAGAGCACTCTTCTCAGGACCAGTGGGGAATGGAGACTCCTTAAAGAAAGAATTATACGCAGCCCTACAAGGTGTACAGATTGCAAGAGAGTTAGGATTGGAAAAGTTGGTGATAGAAGGGGACTCCAAGGTGGTGGTGGGTTGGCTAAAAAGCCCAGGTTCAGTGATTTGGGCTTACAGAAATGAAATGAAGAAATTCAAATGGATAACTCAGCAGATGGATGTAACTATACAATGGGTGGGGAGGGAGGCAAATGCTTTTGCTGATTCTCTAGCTAAACAAGGAGTAACTAGGGATCAATTGTATTGGGCCCACTTGTAACTTTATGATGTTTTTGTATTAATGAGTGAGGCTGCACCTCGCACCTCATATTGGGATGCTTGTAACAGACTATTTATCATTGCTTCTAATGAAATCAATTGAATTTTTTTTCTTTAAAAATACTTCTTACCATCCCATGCCATAGTCTCTCTCTCTCTCTAATGGCCATCTCCATAACCACTTTCCCAATAAAGCCATATTCTTTTGCATTACATTTTCTATTACCCAACCCTCCCTCTTCTTCGCTTTTATACACCACCTCCCACTTTAACAAATAGCCTTCCTACTCTCCCTCAGTTCCCAAAGGAAGTCTCTTATCAATTTTTCCAGTTTCTTGGCTTTCCCTAGAAGGAATCCTAAAGATAGGAAAAAAATAGGTTGGTAAGTTAGCAAGGGTGGCTTTAATCAATGTGATTCTTACCCCCAAGGAGATGTACTTCTTCCATGTTGCCAATCTCTTTTCAAATTTCTCTACAACTGGACACCAAAAACTACTCTCCCTAGGGTTTGCCCCTAAAGGAAGTCCCAAGTAGGTCATTGGCCAGAAAGATATAGAACACTCTGAGTACTTTGCAATAGCCTCCATTTCTCTACTCTCCAAGTTTACCGCTTCTACACTACTCTTTTCAAGGTTTACTCTTAAATTGGATTTTCTTTCAAATATTTTCACCAACATCTTAAGATTTCTCACCTTCTCATGGTCTCCCCCTTCCCAAAGAATTAGTAAATCATCTGTGAATTGAAGATGGGTAATTGATACTCCATCCCTACCTATTTCCCTCCCATTTACTAATCTCTCCCTATTAGCCTTTGAGATCATTCGATAGGACATCAACTAATAAAGTGAAGAGGAATAGGGAAAGAGAATCCCCCTGTCTCACATCCCTACGAGCTAGAAAGAAATCCTTGACCACTCCATTGACCAAGATAGAGAAGTGACTAGAGCTTACACAACCATAAATCCATTTACATAATCTTTCTCCAAATCCACAATTTCTCAAAACTTGGGATAGGAATTTCCAGTCCACCAAATCATAGGCCTTTTCCAAGTGTAGCTTATAGACAAAACCTTTCTTTTTAGATCTCATTTCCTTTAGACACTCATTGGCTACCAGGATCTGGCCTATAATTTGTCTTCCTTGTACAAAGGCCCCTTGGGCTTTATTTGATTAAGGAAGGGAGCACTTCGTTGATCCTCAAGGATGGCACCTTAGCTACAATTTTGTAGATACCAGTCACCAAGATAATTGGTCTAAAGTCCTTAGGGTGAATAGCATCAACCCTCTTAGAAATTAGGGCCAAAAAGTTAGCATTGACTCCTAGGCTTACTATATGATTATCAACAAATTCCTTGAACACCTCACAAAGATCATTTTTTAGGATCTCCCAACAATCTTGATAGAAGGCTAATATAAGCCCATCTGGACCAGTGCCTTGGATCTATCCATCAAAAACATTGTCCTTTTAATCTCCTCTTCTTCAAAGTTTCTCTTCAACTAGCAAACTTTTTCCTCCCCAAATTTGGCCACTCCATCCCTTCCAAAGGTAGTCTCTCATTTACAGGTCTTCCATAAAGGAATTTGAAATGATTTGACAAAGGTACTAGCCATTTCCTCTTGATTAGTAATTATCTACCCTTCTAGTTCTAATTTGGCTACAAAAATTTTCCTTTGTTGTCCACTTGCCACATCATGGAAGAATCTGGTGTTCCCACCACCTTCCTTAATCCACTAATGCCTTGATTTCTGCCTCCAATAAATATCCTCTCTTAGTAGCACATCTTCCAGATCCTTTTTTAGTCTCCTCTACTCTTTATCTTGTTTAGTCAATTATCCTTGGGATTCCTTCTCATCCAACTCTTCTATCTTAGTGATTAGGTTCAACTTTTGTTCCTCTATTCTTCCAAAATTGTCTCTATTCCATTCCTTCAGTTTGGACCTTAATCTTTGTAGTTTCTTATGGAATTTCACCCCCTTCCATTTTACGCCCCTTAACTCATTCCACCACTCCTTCACTTTATCCTTGAACTTCGGGTGTGTTGACCACACATTTTCAAATCTAAAAGGTCTAGGACCACTTACAAAGATTCCATGCCTATCCTAATTGGATAATGGTCAGAAATTACCCTAGACAAAGCACTAGAAACCGGATTACCCCAATGATTCTCCCAAGCTAGGTTGAAAAGGCACCTAGGTTGAAAAGGAACGTATCCAGCTTTGAGCACAACGCGTGATGGTTTGAAAACGTGGGATTTCCTTTAACTCATAAGCATCTACGAAGTCATTAAACTTTCTCATGCTTGTTGTAGTTGACTATCGGGAGTTATTAGTTTCATCTGAGAATCTTATTACATTAAAGTCCTCTCCCAGCCATCAAGGGCTGTCCCATAAACCTTTGATTGCAAACAACTCCCACATTTCATTCCTCTCTCTATAGGAATTAGGGCCATACACATTAGTTAACAACTAAGTAAAATCATCTTCCACATTCTTGAATTTGATAGAGACAGCGAATCTTCCTATGAATTCCTCAACAGGTTCTAGAACCTTATTCTTGCAAATTGTCACAATTCCCCCTGAAGCTCCCCAGGATGGAGCCGAGGACCACCTTACCCCACGGGATCTCCAAAAACTTCTGATCCACCTCTCATCTACCTTTGCCAATTTTGTCTCTTTCAGTAGCACAATGTCTGGTTTTTCTCTCCTAAGTAGGTCCTTTAACACTCTTCTTTTTCTTGCACTCCCCAAACCTTGTATATTCCAGCTGATAATTTTCATCGTTATTTCTCAAAACCCTTCTTTCGCCAATCTCCTCTCCTTATTTAGAGCTCTTCCTCCTATCTCCCCTTCTACTGAATTCTATGTCCCCCTCAATGTCAGAAATTAATCTTTCCACCTTAGTTCTTTCTTTTCTTTTTCTCAAATTTCCTATGATATAACTTCTTATCTCCCTTTCTTTCATCGTGAGTAGCCTTTTTACCACTCTTGCCACATACTTGAGTCAATACCGGCTTGTACCCTCATTTTCTACTATAGCCTCTATCTCCTCTCTAACCTCTCCGGTATTCTCTTCTAGATAACATTCCTTCCGACTAAGCTCCTCAAAGTCCATCCAAATCAACCCCCAAATTCTTTCCACCTCCTATTCCAAACCTGTTCTAAATTCGGATCTAGCCTTTTCTTTTAACTCCTCACTTTTTCCTTCAACTCTGCCCTTATATTTAACACCACCTCCTCAAACAAGGACGCTAGGGTATCTATAGCAGGCTCAATACACAAGTCAGTACCAAAAATGTAAATGACATTCATACCTGGGCAACGAGAAGACGAAGGAGAGGGACACAGCTGCCTTCTTTGCTTCCCTAATCTTCAAGTTCAGCACACCCCTGATCATTATTTCTTCAAAGAGGAACTCCTTAGCTTCAACCTTCAACGTGCAGCTTCCATGAACCTGTTCTCCATCTCCATCTCCTTCCATGTTTCCGACATTTCTGACATGTTTCCTATATTTGGATGACCAACATTTCCACTGACATTACATATTATATATAATATGCCCTTTTTTAATTTTGAAAATTTTAAATAAAACTTATGTATTTGATTGGCCTTTAACCATAGTATGTTTATTTGACCGATTTTTTTTGCCTGTCTTTTTTATTCTTGACATGAACATTTCCTGTATTGTATGTATGCTGTAAATGTATTTACCAGCTATGGTCTAATCCAAATCATAGATGTAACCCCTTTTTATTTTATTTCTTCTTTTTTTTCTTTTTTAGAGCCTAATCTCTTTCTATTCTTCTAGGTCTACGAGTTAGAGACAAGCTATTTGCATGATTCAAACCAATGTGGGAATGTGTTGAAAGGTTTTGAAGGGTTTCTAGCTTCATCAAAGAGCACAACCAAGTATGTGGCTTAGAATTTCTCTTTTTTGTGACAAGAATAATGTCTTTTCTTTTTATATCCATACATGAGTTTATGTTATTCTTAAGTTTCCAATTAAAGGGTGGATTTTGATATATGTGCATCTTAATCAATATGTTTTGATGGACAACTTCAAAAGGTTATTGATAATTTCATTATAAGCTTATTTTAGTACTTTAGTTTCCATAGCTGCGAAATAACTTGTAGGAAGGAATGAATCTGAATGAGTCTTTATTTATTCTTTGCTATGGGTGGCTTATTGTTCCTTTATTATGGGCCTGAATCTGTTGGGCTCTTTTTTTGAATAAGCACATGGTGCAGCCTCAGAGAATCCTATTCACCCCTTGTTTATCAAAGTAATCTGCTAACCCATTTGTCAACCTCCTTTTCCACTGAATCTGGATTTCCATATTGGTAGACAGCCATTTAAACCTTTTGATAGCCTCCCTAAAGTCCCTCTTACAGTACTTGGGCTTTTCAGCCACCTCACTATGATCTTAGAATCCCCTTCAATAAGCAATTTGTTAATATTCGAATTTCTAGGCTTCTAGCCATCTGTAACCCTTGTAGTACTGCTTGGAGCTCTGTATTGACTGAGTCGCCCATCCCTGCTGGTCCTGAAAATAAAGCAATAATGTGGCAATCCTCATTTGTTTATTGAAGTGTCATAACTGCTGCTGTTGATCTCTTTTAGGATCACTAATGAATCCAGAAAAACTGGAAAAAGTATAATCTATCAGGTACACAACCAAAACCTGAAAACCCTTTCCAAAATCTCTAGTCTGTTCCTCAATTTCTGGGCTTTCTCCAAGGCAGACTCCTGGGCAGATGTAGTCGATCTCCAAAAGTTGTCAAACCAGCCCTCTGATTATGTCATGCAATCAGCTGGTCTATGATTGCATGAGAAAGTAAGCTGGATTGAAACTTGGCTAGTTGGCTCTGATAACAAGTTGTTGATTTAAGAATACTTCAGATTAGATGTTTGATGTGTATCAGTCAGTCACAAGAGAGATTGATTTCAGCAAGTAGAACAGTGAGAAGAAAAACAGGTCGTGAGGTCTCTGAAGACTCCCACTAGTATTTATGCTTTGTGTAATAAAAAAGGTAAATTACATGTCTGCCCCTCTTTGGCGACGGCTGTTATGATTACCGGTTTTCGGTTTCGGTTTTTAGAATTAGAGTTTCGGTTAACCGAATTAACCAAACTTTTTATTATTATATGTAATATATAATATATAATATGTAACATATAATATATAATATACTGAAATTTGATTTCATAATATATTTTATAATTTATAATATTATATGTTATAATATATATAATAGATTATATATTATTAAAATTCAGTTTTAACCGAAATAACCGAAAACCGAACCGAAAATTTCGGTTTTTCTAAATTTTGGTTTATTCGGTTCGGTTTTTAACCGAATAAACCGAATGCTAACCCCTACTTAATGTTTCTCCTTGAGTATCGATAATCTTCACATTAGGGTCCATAGAAGTTTCAATTAGCTTGTATCCTAACAGCCCTATCTCATCTAGTAAATCCAAAAACATATTTGCGCTAAGATAGAGAGATTTCCCACTTTTTCTGGCTACTTCAATTCCCATAAAATACTTAAGAGGACCAAGGTCTTTGGTTTGAAAATGTTGTTGTAAAAACTATTTCATCTCACTAATTCCTTGTACATCATCACCAGTGAGAACAATATCATTCACATATACTACTAGTATGATCTTTCCAGAAGAAGTATCTCCGCTAAAAATAGAATGACCAATACTACACTACTTTAGGCCAAATTCCTGCACCACAATATTGAAATGGCCAAACTAAGCCTTCATTGATTGCTTCAATCCATAAATCGCCTTCCTCAATCTACACACCTTCCCTGCTTCCCCTGAGCAACATACCCAGGAAGTTGTTCCATATACACTTCTTCCTTATTTTTCCAAAAGGATGAAAAGTAAGGTCCCATGTGTGAATTGTGATTTGATTGAAAGAGCACAAAATTCTTCAGCCACAGACTTCTTCTAATCAGGAGAAACAAGGACTTCTTAGATTGTTGGTGTGAAAATTTTAATAAATTCTCATGCAACATAATTCACTCAATCAAGTGATTGAGTTTTTATTATTTTGGGTAAGGCCCATTCAGGGAATCATACGGATTGTTCCCCTTAATTACATCCCCACAAGAAAGTAGAGAACACCTTTTGATTTTGACTTGGAGAAATGAACACATAGAACAAAAGAAAAGAATAATAGGATACTTAAAAAAGAACTTTTCATTTGCTTTTCCTTTACATCAGATGTACAAGAATGAGAAGAAAGAAAAAGAAAATACAATTGAGAACTATACAGCAATACATTTCCCTTTTATTTAATACGAAGAAAATGTGCTTCTCACTCCTTTTTTCATAATAAGTTGTAGTCAATCAGATGAAATTCTGATTGTAGACAGCCTTACTCCTTGGAATTTTGCATACAAAAAGGGAACCGTAGTCAATCAAATTGAATATTTGATTGTAGACGATTTTCATCCCTCCGCTCTTCATTTTCATTTGAAGGGAACCATAATCAGCCTTTGAGATTTAGACTGTAGATGGTTTACTCCCTAACTTTGTCTTGAAAGAGGAACCATAATCAACCAAGTAGAGGCACCTGGTTGTAGATGGTTTATTTCCCTCTTTTTCCTTTCTCAAAAGTAATAACAAAGGGGAGAGAAAGAAGGATACATAGCAGAAGACATAAATAGGAAGTATTCACAGAGAGGACTTTCCTTTTCTCTACTTGTATTAGTGAGACTTTTCCTTCCTTGCCTTCCCTTGAGCACTTCTCTTTTCTTCTCTCCTTATCTTTTCTTTTCTTAAGAATCTCTTGTGAAAATTTCTCCGAAGAGTCTCTCTGTGTGTCTGTGTTTCTAGCTTCTCCTTAAGGAGCTTAAATAGGGAGTGGGGTGGTTATGTAACTACCCACTCCTCCTAGGTGAAGGACACCTGTCCCTCCCACTTAAAGAGAGGGAACTCCCCACTTAAAGAGAGAGAACTCCCCACTTAAGAGGGGGAACTCCCACACGGGATACTTTTTTATAATTTTAATGATTTGGCTAGTAGACTAGCTAGCCCACTTATTACAAATTATTTGAATAAAAAAATGCCTTCGACATAGATAGAACGAGGAATAGAAACCAAAAAGAGAAGAGAAACAAAGTGCTGATAGGAAGGAGATAGGTGAGCAAAAGACACATATCATGAGACAGGATAAGAAGTACATTTGTGCTTACCTTTATGAACAACGATGAGAAGATAATGATTTGACTGAGGTGGATTTGTCGATGGTGGAAGCATTAGTGGGAGATTGGAAGCCGAAGAAGGAGCTATTGGTGGCATTGAAGTAGGCTCTTTTTCACGTCTTGAGTACACTCTATGAATTAATGGCCTAATTGGATCCTTGAGAGTTGGTAGTGGAATAAATATATCTCCAGAGGTTGATGGGAGAGGAATAGAAGCTGAGGGTTCCTATCCAGAGAAAAAAGGATAAACTTTCAAAAAAAGTGACATTAGGAGCAACAAAGGCCTTAATAAGAATAGGATCATAGCATTTATACCCTTTTTAAGTGCGGGAGTAACCAAGGAGGAGACATCTGATAGCCCAGACATCCAGATTATCATGACCGGGACCTAACTTGTGGATAAAATAAACACACCCTAACACCCGAGGCTGAAGAGTGAAGGGAGAAACATGAAGAAATAAAAGAGAGAAAGCAGATTGTCCGTCAAGTATGGAAGTGGGCATGCAGTTTATGAGAAGCAATAAGAACAACATCACTTCAATATATCTTTGGCACTAACATCTGAATCAAGAGGGAACAAGCAGTCTCGATTATGTGTTTGTTCTTCTTTCAGCCATGCCATTTTGCTGGGGGTATGCAGACAAGAAGACTAGTGTATAACGCTATGTGTATCAAAGTAAGATTGAAAACTACCGTGGAAGTTGTTGAGATTCAGCAATTCCTTATGATTTTCTTGTTTATAATCATTAGTTAGTGTTATTGGGCCCAAGGCCCATTAGTTTTGTTTTTTTTGGAGTTGTTTTTATGTTATGAATAGTAGCCACCCCATTAAGGGCATATTTACTCTTTGTAATCAATATTTTTTATGAGTTTAAGATAATGAGTGGGGTGGCCAGATCATTATTGGCTTTTCCCCATCTCTTCTTCTCTTCTCACTATTAACTCTTTGTTTCTTTCTTCTTTTGTTATCAAATCAGATTATTGTTTTCTCTTTTTCTACTTAGTATCAGAGCAACTTTTGGGATTTTTTGAGCCTTCCATCATGCAACCCTAGATCAGCCGATTGCATGGTGAGTTAGAGAGCTGATTGAAGACTTCAAAAGTGCCCAATTCTTGGATTTTTTGGTGGATCTAGAACCCTTTGTGTCAGATATTGGGTTGATCATCAAAATCAGGAAGTACTGGAGGAGTCTTGATTGCAGATTTGTAGGACTCTTTATTTTTGACCTAGGAAGGGGCGCTTTGGATTTTTTATACTTGGTGTTTTCTTAATGGGGTGGATACTGTTTATAACATAAAAACAATTCCTAAAAAGCAACATAAACTAATGGGCCTTGGGCCCAATAACACTAACTAATGATTATAAACAAGAAAATCATATGAAATTGTTGAATCTCAACAGAAATACTCTTTAGCATTGTCAAAACGAAATACCCTAATGCATATACCAAATTTGATTTCTTACTTTAGCATGAAATGAGAGAAATATAGAAAATAACTCTGAACAATCTTTCATTAAATAAATCCACGTCATTCTTGAGAAATCATTAATGAAGGTTACAAAATATCTAAATCCATTGTAGGATGATACATGACTTGGACCTTATACATCTAAATGAACAAGATCACAAGGATTCATGACTATTTTATCTTCTCTGGGAACAAAAGGTACTCTATGATGTTTTCTGAGTTGACATGATTCACATTTTAACTGAGAACTTGACTCTGAGGAAGGAAAGGAACTAACTTCTTCAAAATACAGAGAGAAGGATGTCCCAAACAACAATGCCATTGATGAGGAGTAAGAGATGAATTAAGAGCAATTTGCAATTTGTGGACCATTGTCATCTAGGCTGTACAATCCTCCAACTTCATGACAGATGTAAACCAGTCCTCAAAAATAGGTGTAAACTTGAAAAATTAGAGAGAAAAAGGAGGAAGAAAAGTAAGAGCAGTAGTACAAGAGAAGAAGATGGAGAAAAGAGGAGGAAGAAGAAGAAAGGTTCGAATAATCCTTCCCTTTCTTCTCTAATCCTTTTTACTAAAAATTAATGTTAAAATAATTA